CGCCCTGGTAACTGATCAATAATGTGTTGGATTAATGTGAATACTTTCAGCAGTCTAATGTGAATGAATGCTTTGGTTTGACGAGCCGTGAACCGGTACATGTGAAGGTTTGATTTAGTTGATGAATTATTGATGAATGAGTGAACGGGACAAAGAGCCGCTGGCTGAACGGAGTAGACGGTGTGATAGTGCAGCTGCAGAGAGAGGCTGCAGGAGCTTTGTATTTGCTGCACGTCGTGTCAGACAGGAGCTTCTGCAGCACCTTGAGTTTGTGCTGTTGTTTGCCCTTGAGTGCTGAATCATCAGAAGTCAGCAGCACATTCACAGGTGGAGCAGAGAAATGACTCTGGGCTGTTTTCACAGCAGATTGTTTTTGTTTTTTTCCCGCTCTGTGTTCTCCCCTGGGAAACGCAGCCTGCATTACTCGTTAGTGTCAAATAATGTTGTCTGACTTAATGGGGTCTTTTTAAAGAGGCTGTTTCTTAAAGATCTGAAGCAGAGAGCGGGAACCTGATGACGTGAACGAGGCGATCTGCAAACTTTGAGACGCCTGTAATCTCCAGACTGAGCCACACTGTGGTCGTCAGTCACCCCGAGTTTATCACCTGGTGGAGACGTTTCCACGCTTGGCCTCTCCACGTACAGGCTCCTCCCCCTCAGAGTCCGGACTGGTCGCCACTGATCTGCTGAATCAGTTTTTATTCCTGCGCGTCGGCGACAGTCAGAGCTGGAGGCCATTTTGTTTTCGGGTCGTACCATTGTCGTGGACACGATATCTCAGTAACGCCTTGAGGAAACTTCTTCAGATTTGTTAACAATATTCACCTAGACTCAAGGACAAACTGATTATGGTGGTGGCCAAAGGTCAAAGGTCAAGGTCACTGTGACCTCAGAAAACACTTTTTAGATCTTAAAACCTCAACTTTTAGTGAAAAAAAGTTAGGTGTAGTCCAGATTGAACAACACAGCGGTAAAGAGCGAGAACAGCTGGTGATGCAGAGCGACCTCTGAAGGACGCAGCTCCTGAGACACAGCTACAGTGTCATCACTCCATCATCATCCAGACGGAGAGACCGTGACTCTTTCCTGGAGCTTGACTCGTTGGAGGAGGAAAAAACCACGAGGCGGGAAATTCTAGTTCAACCATTTTTCCAAAGTGTTCTTCCTTCAGAATCTTTTCATGTGGCATCAAAAGAAAAAAGGATCATGGCAGCACTGATTCAAACTGCAGCACAGAGAGAGGGCAAAATGAGGATTTGTGTCCCACTTTCTTATCGAGTGCTGAGTTTTCAATGGCAACAAAAGCAGATCCTGTTAAACCAACAGAGCAGTGATAACAGAAGATGTCGCCTCCTTCACTTCAATGAAAAATCCATCATGACTCGTCCCACAGCGACACAAAAGCTGCTCTGACGCTTCTCTGAGACCCGGTTCGGCTGCGAACGGAGGCTCATCCTGCAACAAAGGAGCCGAGAGTCGGATTCACGGCTGATCGTCGCTGCCGGGTCCGACTCAGGAGACGAGCTTCACGTCAGGCCCGGCGCTCTGCTGTGAAGTGACACGTCTGTCAGACTCTCAGCTCCGTGTGGTCCAAGGCTTCCCAACCGTGGAATTATACATCAATAAATAAATACGGCCATGACATAAATCCTGAAATAAACGAGGTAATAAATGTAGAAATATATGAATAGATGTAAATATAAATATATAAGTGAGTCAATAAATAAACAAATAAATCGATGAATAAATTGCTTTTTATTTTAGGAATTACCTTTTTATTTATTTCTGAAAACTTTTATAAATCTACATTTATTTATTTCAGGGGACTTTTATTTTATAATTCCACATTTATTTCCCAGCTTTTTATTTCCATCTGTCATATTCTAATGAGGGGGCGTGGCTATCTCACAGATTCAGACCAGAGCAACAGCACCAGAACAGTGTGAATCACACACAGAGAATAAAATCCCTCTGGAATAAATAAAAAGCAATTAAATTTATTCATTTATAAAGCTATGTATTTATTTATCAACTCACTTATATATTTATATTTACATCTATTTATTTATTTCTACATTTATTACCTAATTTATTTATTTCATATTGATTTAGGTGACACACGTTCTGTGGAGTGGATTCATCCAGTCGTCGTTTATCAGCTGTTCAGAACATCAGTGTCTCCTCACAGGAACATCTGTATTCAGTGATATTTAAAGAAACAAACTTTAATCATTACAAAGACAGAAACTCACAGTTTATAACAGAGATACTGACTGTCACACAGACGTGTCCTACATTCAAATGATGGATGTTATGATGATATTTATGGATGCAGCTCAGTGTCAGTGGTTACACAGCTTTAAAACACACAACACCTTTATTACTGAAATAAAACTCTCACTGTGTTTCCTCTGCAGCAGCTAAACTACAGTTTTATCTCCACGGCTTCACTGCTACTGGGGGGCATGAGGCGAGAGAGAGAGAGAGAAGAGACAGAGAGACAGACAGACAGACAGACAGACAGACAGACAGAGAGAGAGACAGAGAGACAGACAGAGAGAGAGAGAGACAGACAGACAGACAGACAGAGAGGAGGCAGAGACAGGACAGAGAGAGAAAGGAGCAGCAGAGACAGAAGACAGGACAGAGAGAGAGGACAGAAGAGAGAGAGAGACAAACACAGAGAGAGGGACAGACACAGAGAGAAGACAGCACAGAGAGAGAGAGACAGACAGAGAGAGAGACAGACAGACACAGAGACAGAGAGAGAGACAGACAGAGAGAGAGAGACAGACAGACAGAGAGAGAGAGACAGACAGAGAGAGAGACAGACAGAGAGAGAGAGACAGACAGAGAGAGAGACAGACAGAGAGAGAGAGACAGGGGTTCAGACTTTAAACAGAAGAAGAAAAGTTTCCTCTCCGTCTGTGATCAACTGACTGACAGACGTGTCTGGCGTCTTCACAGCTACGATGCTAACGTGGCTAAAAACAGCTCTGTGTTATTTTGGTAGAGGGAGCGTCAGTGTTGAAGCTCAGAGTGAAGTTATCAATGAGCTGCTGGATCAATCAGCTGAGCTATCATTGGTGCAGCTGTCAGGTCCTGGGGGGTCAGAGTCACTCACTACAGGGTGAGGGGGGGGGGGTCAGAGGTCAGCGTGGTCAGCTGATGTAGTGACGGATGAGTGTCTGTTTTCAGCCACTGGAACTGAAACTGTTTCAGACACATTTGTGCGAAAGTTTGTCATAATTGCTGTGAAGTCTAGAAGGCTAAAATGTGTTTTCTGAGGTCACTGTGACCTTGATCTTTGACCCTTGACCTTTAGCCAAGTCTAATCAGTTCATCACTGACTCCAGGTGAATGTTTCTGCCAAATCTGAAGAAGTTGCTTCAAGGTGTTACTGAGACATCGTGTCGACGAGAATGAGACGGACGACCTGAAAACAAAATGGCGAGTGGATCCTTCGTGGCCCAACCCTATCCCAAGATGCATTGCGCGCCAGTGATGAATGACTTTTCAAACAGAGAATATGGCAAAAAAAAGACCATGTCATTTCGGGTCACCCGTCATAGTCCCTGTGGTCTCCGCAGGCGGCGTCCTCTGAGGGTTGCGGTCCTGAACGAGGACGCAGCTTCAGTTGTTTCCTGTTTCTGCTGAGGTGTCGAGAATCGTGGAATTTGATTGGTCTTTGTACCGACCAGATTTCTGTGTAGTGACGTCGTGTTTTTTAATATGCTGCTGTACTGTCAGTGTGTGTGTGTGTGTGTGTGTTTACTGTTAAAGAAACACAGAGCTTCCTGCTGACCAAACACTCCTAGCTCCCATGAGGTCGAGCAGGAACATCTGTTTCTCTGGAGTGTGCTCAAACAGCTTCTCTCAGCAGGTGTGACTCTGCAGCAGCTCACACACACACACACACACACACACACACACACACACACACACACACACACACACACACACACACACACAAACACACACACACACACACACGTTGAGGCTGCAGTGAGGATAAATGATGAGGCGTTGGTCCATTGAGGCTCCCATACTTCACTCAGGTATTTTCAGCTGTACTTTCATCTGACAGCTGGAGTCTCTTCACTATGTGAAGAGTTTATTAATATGATGCAGATTAAACTCCAAGGACCAAACAGGATGCGAGGAAATGATTGGCTGATTGATCGATTAACTGATTGACAGACAATTTATCTGTTTGGTTTGTTTAAAGGTGTTGATCCATCAGAAGATATAAAAACCATCTCAGTGTAGTTTTACATCTCCTCTCTCAGGCTTCTCTCTGCAGCTCTAGTAACAACAGGTCGGTGAGCCAATCAGAAGAGAGGAGGCTCTGAGCCTCTCTTCTGATTGGCTGACTGTTTTCTGAGTGATCCAATAAAAATAAAGCAGATTTCAGGTAAAAACACTCAGAGAAACCAAATCCTGCAAGGTTTGGATGGTGGGTCCAGGTGGGCGGGGCTTGATTTTTTCTTTGATAATAAACTGAATCTCGTTTGAAGAATTCTTTGAAATTGAAGGTGTTTCACAGGTAAACGAGCTGGTCATTAAGCGTGTTCATTAAGCGTTAAACTATGAAAGACACATTTTCCATGGCTCATCGTGTGTTTAGTCTCTAATATTTAATGTTTCATCACTGAACTGTTGTAATAAAACAAACGAGGCTTGTCTCCTGCCGTGGTGAGGTCGACAGCGAGCTGTAGGAGTAACACTGATCTGTGTGAGTCACTGAAAACAGGTGTATTCATTAATATTCAATAACTTCACTCTTATTCACTGTGGTGTCACAACAATCATGTCAAGCTCCTGCTGGTTACACTACAACACGTAATTAAATTACAGGAGCCCCCTAGTGGTAGATAAAGATATCTACGTCCTTCCTCAGCTTCCACATTAATGTGTAAAGAATGAGATTTATTTTCCCTCCTCAGCTGTCACATGTTGGTATATATGTCACCCCCCCTCTCTCTTGCCCCCCCCCTCAGGGCCAGGTCTGGGATGAGCCTGGGGGAGTGTAGTGTCAGCAGGAGGCTGCTGTCTGCTGCCATGAAGCCGCCCTGCTCTGTCTACTGCTGCCTGTGGTTCCTCCTGCTGCTGGGAGCTGGATCTCTGCTGCTGCTGGTCCACCTGCAGGACCTGACCGACACCGTCCAACAGCAGACCCCAGGTGAGTGTCGCTGAGGGGGTCTTCTTCTTCTCCTCCTTCTTCTTCCTTCTTTTTCTTCTTCTTCCTTTTACAGCACACCACTCAGCTGTTACTGCCCCCTGCAGGCTGAAGAGTGTGTCACATGCTCTGCCCTCACTGGGTCTGTAGTTGTGTAGTTGTGTAGTTGTGTGCTGAACCCCCCCCCCATGTGGTTGAGTGTGTTGTTGTGGTGAGATCAGTAACTACAGTGTGTTGTTGTTCATGTGGAAACAGTCAGTTTCCCCCTTCATAACATTAGCAGATCTGAAATGTAAAGTGGATCCAGAATAACTGATCTGAGACCAGAGACGAGGATCAGCTCAGACAGGAAGTGACCGAGGAGACACTGAGACACATCATCTGTTCATGTGGGTCCAGCTGGTCAGTTTCCTCTGGTCGGGTTTCTCTTCTGACCTCAAGTGACCCCTGTGCTGGGGGGTGGGAGCTTCGTCATCTGATACTTGAATGTGAGCGATGAGTCAGCAGACGCTTCACCACATCGCTGCCGTTCACTCCTCTGATCGTTTTCTGCATTTATTGCTTAATAAAAGAAATAATAGATCAATAATTATCACTCATAATAATAATATTAAAATGATAATCATCACAGTCTCTCGTTATCTTTAGATTCTTGTTTTTTTTGGGGCTTTTTGTGCCTTTAATGGACAGGACAGTAGAGAGGCAGAGGGGGGGGGGATGACACGCAGGAAAGGTCCGTCTGAAGCGGGAGTCGAACCGGGGGCTGACTGCAGCGAGGACTGTGGCCTCTATATATGGGGCGCCTGCATAACCCACTGCGCTACGCAACACCCCTAGATTCTTGTTTTTAATATTTCAAAATCATGATTTGTGGCAAATCAATAAATATAAAAACTGATAGTTATAATTATTGTTTAAAATTATATTATTATTATTATTATTTTTATTTATTCTTATTTTATTTTTAATTATAGGAGAAAGTGGAGCTGCATGTGTTCCATAGAGTCACAGGATTACTATAATATTTATATAATATATATATATATATTATATAATATATATTAACAGGACCCCCCCCCCCCCCCCCGGTGCTTCTGTGGGTGGATCCAGTGTGTTTGGTTCTGGATCTATTGATCTCTATCGATCAGGTGTATCATTGATCAGATCATGTTCTCAGCCTGTCGTCCAATCACAGGCTCAGATTCGAGACGTCTCCTCCCTCATTGATCTGCAGCTGGTCAGCTGTTGTTCCCTCATCAGTGATCAGGTATCAGTAAACCTGATTGATCACAGTCAGATCACAAACAGCCGTGATCGTTTCCCGCCTGTTTCTGGTGATTGTTCTTTGATTCAGCCTCACAGCAGCAGTTTGTCTCACTGTGGCCTCTACTAAGTTTTATTTATTATTATTGACTCATAAGAATGTGACATCACACTGTTGACGTCAGACAGCTCAGTCTCTGTCTCGGCTGACGGGCTTTCAGCCGCATGACATGGCTTTCTTTAGAGGTGAATCTGTGGTCGAGAGCTCCAGAGTAAGACGAGAGAATTAAAGAACGTCAGGGAAGTTTGTGTGTCCTCATTGGCTCCCATGTGTGGGGATTATACAGCAGAGGTATGAACAGGTACATCAGTTACCATGGCAACCATCAATTCAGCGAGATGCAGCACTAACATGTGGCTTAAAAAATTATCTACGACTTTAATTCACACAAACGCCTCATATCTAACCCTCACTTACTGTTCAGGTCAACTTTGACCCCTCTGACATTTGGCAGCAGTAAAAATACCATAAATGTCTTTTAGCCTGAAATGTTATGACTTTTCCTAAAGTGACCCAGAATTCACCAAAATAAAAATATTATAATATTTCATACTTTTGTTCAGCTGCTGTGAATGTTTGTACATTGAGGCTGTTCAGGTCAAATCTGACCGTATCTATTGAAGTGGATTGTAGATCCACAGATATTAGATCTGTGCGTCAGATGAAGGAACATGGAACATAAATGTACTTTATAAATTTATTTATAAAGTACATTTATAACAACAGCTGTTGACCAAAGTGCTGTACAATCAATAACATAAAAACAACACAGCAAGAACACAAACTGGTGCAAACAGACAGAAATGACAACTCTCACACTGAGTCAAAGGCCAAAGAATAAAAATGTGTTTTAAGACGTGATTTAAAAACAGGCAGTGAGCGGGACAGTCTGACATGTAGAGGCAGCTTGTTCCAGAGTTTGGGAGCTGCAACTGAAAAAGCCCGGTCTCCCCTGAGCTTTAGTCTGGATCTGGGCACAACTAAAAGCGACCTGTCAGCAGACCTGAGAGTGCGTAGAGGTACATGTGCCACTAAAAGATCCGACAGGTAAAATGGAGCTAGCTCATGTAATGATTTATAAACGAAAGTTAAAATTTTAAAATCAATCCTAAAACGTACAGGGAGCCAGTGAAGGGAGGCCGGCCCGGGGGAACTGCTCGCCTGTTCCTGTTAAAAGACGAGCTGCTGCATTTTGGACCAACTGTAGTCGTGAGAGGGAGTTCTGGTTAACACCAACATAAAGAGCATTACAGAGGTCAAGGCGGGAAGAAATAAAAGCAATGATGACTCTTTCAAAATCATTAAAAGACAGGCAGGACTTGACCTTTGATAAAAGCTTCAGTTGGAAAAAGCTAGATTTCACAACTGAATTGATGTTTGTCCAATTTAAAATCACTGTCCATAATCACACCCAGATTTCTAACAGTGGATTTTACAGATGGACTTACAGAGCTCAGGTCTGTGTGGGGGCCAACACAGGCACCACTGGGGGGCAGGAGATTATAAAGGTACCTGAGCTGCCACAGACTGTGCAGCAGATGAACACCTAAAGAATACTCTCTCCCTGCTCTGACACTTTAATGAAGGATGAATCCTCCATGTGTTAATGTCAGAGAGGCTGTTTATACTTTCTACATAGATTCACTACAGACACTTATCATGAGGGAGCTCTTACTGTGAAGGCAGAAGCATCAACAGTGTGTGAGGGGTAAATCTGTGTTCCCAGTGTGTGGATCAGATGAATGAGTGTTTTAATATCAGTGTTGGATTCACAGCGAAGGGATGTATGAAAAAAAACGAATTATACAGGAAGTTACAGTTGGTTTAATATAATTATCTTTACGTTAAAAACAATAATAACCTGGTATGTATGGAAGCTTGTCAACTCTGCTCCTGTTTAAGGGGGAGGAGCTACATCATGAGACGCTGCTGTGGAGTTACACACACACACACACACACACACACACACACACAGCTCAGTCTGAGTCAGCACTGATCCAAGGTGAAGGTCTCCTCCTCACCAGGACTGAGTCTCTGACCTCGTCCTCCAGCGGCTCGTTGGAGTCTCATCATCTTCATCATCTTCATCATCTTCATCATCTTCATCGGGTCACATCTGTGCTGATGTGACTTCCCCCTGAAAATGAAATATTAATTCATTGTGGACAGAGACCTGTCCTATCAGCAGACACTGCCCTCCTCCTCCTGATGTCCAGCAGGAGGAACAGTGAGGTCCAGTCCTGGGGGGTCGTCCTCTCTGCTGACTCCCTCCTCCTGCTCTGATCTGCATGTGAACTGATGGAGCAGACAGCAGCTGTCAGTGTCTCCGGTCCACAGACAGTCAGAGACAGCAGATAAGAGACGGAGCGCTTACATCCACTTCCTGTATCTGCGTCACATGGTTCTTCAACTGAAATAAAACGTCTTTCTTTGTGTAATAACAATGTTATTGTTTTTATCATTGAACTTTTGGAGGGAAAACAGAGTGTTATTACACTGATATGATCTTCCCTCACAGGAAAACCACATGAATGTGCAGTTTGTTGAAACTGTTGGTGAAACACTGAAAATCTGCAATGACATGTGACGTGTTACGACGTGAAATCATGTGACACGTGATCAAATGTAGGAAACATGTTAACTTCACATGGTTGTTCCGTGACGATGAGATAAAAACAAGCAGCAAAATCAGCTGTAAATTCAAAGTATAGTGTTGTTTTGTTTTGTTTTGTTTTGTTTTGTTGTTTTGACATAAACAATAATCATGACCACGCCCACTCACGAGACAGGAAGTGCTTATCATTACTTACCATTGGTGCTGCTTGTGATGTGGCAACTTCTGTTCTAGAGGATCGTTGGTGACGTCTTCACATGTTGAGTTTAGTCCGACCATCAGACCCTCTGTGACATGGTGGATCTGGTCTGGTCTGGTCTGGATGTGGATCTGGATCTGGTCTGGACGTGGTCTGGACCTGGTCGGGATCTGGATCTGGCCTGGATCTGGTCTCGATTTGGTCTGGATCTGGTCTGGTCTGGATTTGGTCTGGTCTGGTCTGGTCTGGTCTGGATTTGGTCTGGATCTGGTCTCGATTTGGTCTGGACGAGGTCTGGATCTGGATCTGGTCTGGATCTGGTCTGGTCTGGATCTGGTCTGGATCTGGTCTGGTCTGGACGTGGTCTGGATCTGCGCTGGACCTGGTCTGGTCTGGATCTGGTCTGGACCTGGTCTGGTCTGGATCTGGTCTGGTCTGGACCTGGTCTGGTCTGGACCTGGTCTGGTCTGGATCTGGACGTGGTCTGGATCTGGTCTGGTCTGGTCTGGATCTGGTCTGGTCTGGATCTGGATCTGGTCTGGTCTGGTCTGGTCTGGTCTGGTCTGGATCTGGTCTGGTCTGGTCTGGATCTGGATCTGGACGTGGTCTGGCTCNTGGGTCTGGTCTGGATTTGGTCTGGTCCTGGTCTGGATCTGGTCCGGACCTGGTCTGGTCTGGATCTGGACGTAGTCTGGATCTGGTCTGGTCTGGTCTGGATCTGGTCTGGTCTGGATCTGGATCTGGATCTGGTCTGGTCTGGATCTGGTCTGGTCTGGATCTGGATCTGGACGTGGTCTGGCTCTGGTCTGGATCTGGTCTGGACCTGGTCTGGTCTGGTCTGGACCTGGTCTGGTCTGGATCTGGTC